TTTATTTAATTTGAAACTCTTATTTTCTTTGCTAACTTTTTAAATTTAAATCCAACACTTTTTTAATCAAATCCAATCCCAATGAATTCCAGATGGAGCAAAATCAAATCAATCAGATCATATCATCATCATAAGAAAATCAGATCTAAATATCAACATCACCATCATTGAATCAAATCTGAAATCATCATAAAAATTCATTCAAATCAAATCAGAGATTGAAAAAGATTGAGATATTCAAATCAAATCTGAGATTGAAAAAGATTTAAAAATCAAGTATAAAAGGACCCTCAGAAGCAACAAAACGGGGATCGACAAGCATCAAAAACTCTTACAGTCTTCATCAAAATTTAAATATTCAATTATCATATTTGTAACTGCTTATGGGATGTAATTTTGCGAGACAATTGTCGCATTTATCTTTCCGCACTTTATGTTCTGCCATTGTATGTTTATCGCGTCTTTACCAATAATCTCACTCCTCCGAAGGAATTAGGTCTAGCCGTTTGACCGTCGTGTCAATAGTCCTCACCTTCAACCCTTACACCTCTTACAAACCCTAATTTTCACAAATGCCTCGTCGCAGGCTAAATTACAATTTTACCCCTAGCATTAGGTCAAAGAGCCGTCGCGCTCATTTTAGGGTTTCCCGCCGTGGAATCCCTAATTTAACCCTAACCACAACTTAACAATTCAACGTAGAGATTTGGAGTTTCTACACTCCGCGTAAGCGTGTCCTTAAGATGCGTTTATTCCCCTTGAGACCTTGACCACAGTCAAGAAGTTTCTAACCTCCCTATTGAGGGGAACTACGATTACTCTGATTCCACTCCCGTAAGGATACGTAGGCACAAGATGCGATGTCTTGCCGAGTAAACTTAGAATTAACCCCTTAGGTCTCTTTTCTCACTTTTAATCCCTTTGTACATATACCTTAAGCAAATAAATAAAGCAAATAGTAAACATCTGAACAAAAGGTTCCTGTAGAGTACTACAGAAGTTTAGGGTGCTAATACCTTCCCTAATCTTAACCAACCCCCGAATCCTAGAATCTCCCCGCATTGTGTTTACGATGCAAAAATAGGTTTTCCCTCTTTTGACCTTTTCCTTCGGATAAATCAAAGAGCGGTTGTGAATTGAATTGCGATTCAAACTCATTAATAGTTTGTGATCCTATTTCCACCGCAACAATGAGGATAGTGACTACCAACCTCTTGTAGACCTCCAAGCGAGTTTGTGCAGTATGGAAAACCTTGAAGCCTCCAAATAAGATCCAATCCAAAGCCTTGATGAAGATGACAGCTTTTCTTGCACTTGAAGTAAACAAGTGAACCCTTAGGACAAAACTTAAAGTAAGTGATGATGATGGTATTTTAGGTTATGGATAGTTGGTACATCATAAACCTAAGGTGTTTGGAGGTTTACAATGATCAAAACAGGCCTGGTTAGTGATTTGGCAGATTTTGTATGTGAAGTCAAACTTTGCTTGGTTGAAAGTTAACTTTTGGGAAAATGAGGGTTTTGACTTGTTTAAGAGTTTGAACACCTCCCACACATCATTTGTGGATTGTGTAGATGGTTTATGGTGATTTTAAGTGGGTGAAAATGACTTTGGAAGATGTTTTGCTCAAGGCAGATTTTTAGGTATTTTTGGAATGGTTTTCTTCACTTATAAGCAAAGTAAATGCAAGAAGAGAGCAATGGTTTTCTCTTGGGTTTTAGAGTGCTCTGGTGTACCTTTCAACATAGAGGAAACCTCTATTTATAGGCAAGGAATGGTTTGGGGCAGATTGGTATTTTTGCATTTTGGAGGGAATTTTGTAAGATACAATTTTGTTCAAGATTGTGGACAGCTGCAAATTCAGGCTCTTGGCTCAATTTTATGCATAAATCAAGTGGTGAGGATGACATAGAAGTGACTGAAGTATGGCTAGGGAGTAGGAGAACTGCAGCTGTAAGATTTCTTCCATAAAGTTTCTTTTTCCTCATTTCTTTCATTAAAATAATGCAACTTGCCTATCACTTGCCAAATCCATCAAACCCCTTAGTTTTCTGCATATTAGCTCATCATACTCTCTAAATAACAGATAGAAACATGATCCAATGGCTGAGAATAGCTCAAGTGATCAAAAGGTGAGTGTGTGAAAAAGTGGAAATGGTGCACTCAAGTGTTGAAACCCCAACTTGCTGGATTCATAACTCTCAACTCATAAGGGATATGGAGGAGTTCTAGTACATTTTGGAAAGCCCTCGTGAAGCTCTACAAATTTCATGTTTTCATGATCTTCATATTCCAAATGGAACTAGGTCAAAAATCCACTCAAAGTTGCTAAAAAGCATGCCTAAAAAGGCCAATAACTTGGAATTTTCCTAAGTTATTTTTCCCTCTTGTAATGATTTTGGTCATAACTCCAAATCTATGCATTTTCTGCTCATGAACCACTGTGGGACGTTTGTAGGATTTGTCAAGAGCTTTTCAATGAGCTTTGAACCAACACAAGTGGATGTGTGGTTAGGGAGTTATGGTCTTGCCTCTTTCAAAATCCTAATTTCCCGATTTCTCGATTACTCCTCAACCCTTGATCCAATGGTCATGAAACTTCATGGATAAGTTCAATATGCCATTAGAAACATTTTCTATTCACACTTTGAGTTCAAATTCCTTATGATTGCAGAGTTGACTTTTCGGTTAACCGAACAATCGATCGATGACTACCGAGTCGACTGTTGATGTTCCAGGTCTTTTGAGGCCTTGAAACTTCTTGAATAGGCTTCACTAAGCCATATGAACTTCATGGACCATGATCCCTCCATTGGAACACCATTTAAATCAAAAGTCAAACTACAGTTGACTTTTTCCCCAAATCTTCTGATTTTCAATTGACTGATCAATTGAAGCTCTTATGATTAAAATTGATGGTCAATCTCTCATCCCCAAACACCTTAGGACATATTTAGGGTCATGGAAACAGGTTTGCTTCAAGAAACAAGTTCTATCCTGATTAAAATTGAAACCCTAATTCCAACCTTTTCAACTACAGCCACTTACACTTGATATAAACACTTGGATGAGCTCCATAATGACCCTCAAGGCCTCTAATGAGCTTAAGTGATAATCTCCCTCCATAACCATGGGCTTGTGATCCTCAGATGACCTTCAAATGGCCTCCTAAATAGGAGGTGAACCACATACACTTTTCTGCTTATCCAAAGGGCTTTGACTTGTCTCTGATGATAATAACCACTTGACAACTTGAATACAAACCCTTGATTAGGTTTAGAACCCTTGACACATCTCTCTTGTTGTACACACATCTTTTGACCCTCTGCAAAAATGCAATATGCTAGAACAATGAAATGAAACATAAACCAAGTAAAGAAAAGGTTGGGCAAATTTTGGGGTACAACAATGTACAACCTAGAAAAAAAAAAAGGAACAACATTAAAAACTCAACAAATCCATCTTAATATCCAAAAAAAAGTCATATATCATCACTCAAAATCAACAAACTTAATTTCTATTTTAAAAATCCCAACCACAAATTACCCTCTTTTCATTACCTCCATTTGTGATGAACCCGAAATGCAGTTTCGGTGAAGAAAGAAGAAGAAAGAAAAGAAGAAGAGCACAGAGAGAAATGAAGAACAAAGAGAAATGAGATAGCAGATTGCAAATCAGAAAAGAAAGAGAAATGAGATAGCAGATTGCAAATCAGAAAAGAAGAAGAAAGAGAAATGAGAGAGAGGTTAGAAAAAGGTAGGAAAAAGAAGAAATGAAGCAAAGGCTGAGACATGACAAATCTTTCATACAATACAAGCCAATGAAACCATCCACTTGTCATGAGGAGAAGGCAGTAAGACAGAATGAAAACTTACAAAACAATAAATTTTTTTATATTGTAGACTATACCAATATTTAAATGAGTTAATTCATATACACATTAAAAAATATATAATTTTAATCAAATATAATTGTTTAATTCATAAAAAAGTTTGATTTTAACAATATCTCATGTAAAATCATATAAATAATAAACTATAATTATTTGAAATTGTAAAAAGTCTTATGGTAGTGCATCAAAACTATTCTCAATTTTAATTAGGTATAGGTATGTTTGTTTCAGATTTAAGAAAATGAATTTTTTGTTTGTATTTTTAAAAATGAATATTATAAAATTATTTTTTTTATATTATTATAAGTCTTTTTATATTTGTTTTTTTAAAATTAAAAGATTAATTTTGATATTCTATAACATAAACATAAGATTAAAATATAGTCGAAATCATAATTTTTTTTAAATAGGTAAATCTCAAAAATAATTTGTATTAAAAACTATTTGAAATAACTTTAAAATTAAGTGATTTTTTAAAATTTTAATATTTAAAAAAAGTTTCAATAAAATAATAAAATATTTAAAATAACATTTTAAAAATAATTATTCACACTAATTATTTATTCGTATTTTTTATGAATTTTTTTTTATCCAAAATCATGTTATACTATAAGAATTATTAAAAAAAACAAAACAAATAGACTCATAGATATCTAGTACTCCTTCAGTCTTAAAATAATATTTGTAAAAAAATTATCCTAAAATAAGTGTCGTATTGATAAAAAAAATCCTAAAATAAGTGTATGTTTTCAATACAATTTTAATTTTAACTTTTTAATTATATCCTCTAATTATATTATTTAATTAATACTTCTAATTTACTATTTCTCTTTAAATATGTTAAAACCAACGGAATAATTTAATAAAATTATTATTATCTCGTTTATATATATATATATATATATATATATATATATATATATATATATATATATATATATATATATATATATATATATATATATATATATAATTTGCATGGAAGATATTTTGGACGGATGAATTATTAAAAATCCGTAAAAAGCCACGTAGGCGAGGAGGAAGAGCGACCATAGACAACTAGACATCATCCCAGCTCAATTCTTCTTTCAATTATAAACGAACACGATGTCGTTTGGATCTTCTCTGTTATCTCCTCCGTCGCATCTTGTTTGCCGGAAACGTAACAGAATCTCTCCGTTCAAGGTCGCTGCAAACGTTCCCGACTTCCTCTCTGCAGACTGGTCAGTACTATTCTTTTCACTTTCCATTCCTATTTCTAACATCATCATCACATACAAATACAATACTACAGGTTTGAATCTCGCAAGAAAAAACCGTTTGGTCCAACATTAGATGTGAGCAAAATTTGGTTTGAATCCTCTTCATGTATGCGTCTTTTTTCAATTTTCAGTTTCATTTGGTTAATTGAATTTAATTAATTTTTTTATAGTTCACGGCAGAAGATGCTGTTCATCATCAGCTTGAAGCGTTGAAGTACAACGATCAGCCTCGTCAAGATTATGGAATTGAAGTCATGTATAGGGTAGGGTAATTGTTTTTTCACTCTTTCTATTTTCTTCTCCAACGAATTTGTAATCCCTAATTTATCACTCAGCTGTTTTTTTTTTTTTATAGTTTGCTGGATTTGATCCTTTTGAAAGGTCCACCTATTTTGGACCATTCTTTGATCTCGGTCAGGTTAGTATAAATCATATTTTGATACACAAATTTTGACGATAATTTATAATTTAGATAGTTAATGTCTATGAAGCACTGACACCAGAAACACGACACCGGCACTGACACATTGATATGGATAATAATTTCAGAAAAACGAGTAAATTAAATGTAATCACAAGTGTCCGTGTCTGTTTCGGACATCAACACGGACACGAACACACCTTTTTTCAGAGGAGTTAGTGCTAGAGGTTAATGTAGTTCACTTATGTAGTAATTGTGTTTAGTTGATGATTAATGAATATAACATAGTGATGCAACTCATTAATCCTTCATTGAAACACGATTTTTACGGTGTTCAAATATGAATGATGAATGTCGTGGTTAATGGGTATCATGTATATTTGAAATCCTTAAATGTTAAAACCATGGTTAATTGTATTCTATGGAAAAAGGTTAATGAGTTGCAACACCTTGTCATATACAAGTACAACATGTATTTGAATTGTGGTAACCATCTTAAATATTTACCGAAAATGGTTGTCCCATTTTGTGTCAAAAATACACAACTTTTTTTATAAGCAATAACACAGCTTTTATTGATTGCAACTATATAGTGTATTGTATATATTGATGGTAAAGTAAATAGTGAAACTCTTGTTTTGCAGTTTGAAAGGTTCAGGCGTATTTTTCATCATTCTACTTACAGAGTTTTATTGGGTCACAAAGAAAGAAAGATCATGAGTAGTTTATTTGTGGAGGAGGTAAATAGAATGAATGTCACAGTAACTTTCTTTTTATTTCAGCACAGAAAGTCTCTGTCATGTGTTTAGAACTTTAGTTTATAGAATTTATAGATAAGTATACATTTGGATATGTGCATTTCCAGTACATGAGTACTTAATGGTATTCTTTTTCATTTTTGTTACTTTACTGTCATGTGATGAACTTCAAACAGAACAAGTATAAGCAACGGATTTGGGTTCGTGGATGTCGGCCAGAGGAAGAGGAGATATTTCAATTTACAATGGTTCAGGTTTGATCATTATTATTGTCATCTTGTTAGACATCTAGTGTTTCCATTTGCAATGTTTTAATTTGATGTTTAATCATTTCAATTCACAACAATTAGAACATCCAATAAATGATTCATGTCTCAACACTACAGTTAAACATACATGGACACCGAACACGCCATCGATAATGATAATAATTAAGAAAATAAAAGAAATGAAATGTTATAGTATGTATCAGCGACGCGTCATTGTCTTAGACCAACACATATCAATCATCACAAACTTTTAATTTGAAGTGTCGGTCTTGCATGGTCTATAGTATAGATTTTCCGATACATTTTCTGCATGTTTTGAATTTTGATGCGTGCTAAGCTGTGCTCTTAAATCAGTGAATTGCTATAGTATCATTTAATTTTAATAGTCCCTTGCTTAATTCAATGATGATATGAAATTCTAAAATAACGATTTTTTTTCGGTTCCCTCTTATTCTCTGATTTATCACTTGTTATCGGCAGAGGGTTGGTGGTTGCTGGGATGGTTATTGGTTGACAGAGTCACTGCTTCACAATACAGATACATTTTCTGGTGGGTTAGCTTATTGAAAACCATCCAATGGAGAAGAAATCAGTTTCATATTTGAAAAACATAGTGATATACTATTATTATCCTAATCATAGTCCGTAAAACTTGTACATATTTGTAAGAAATTCAGCTGTAATTATGTGTAAATAAATGTGGACTGTAATTTGTCCTTGATGATCCATTTTACTGAAATGTTGGAGGAGATGGCATGTGTTTGGTGCTTATACCGAAATGTGTATACTTGTGCAAGATAGAATAGAATAAAGAGAATTACTCTTAGTTACGCACATTTCATTTTCAGTTGTGTTGATATTTAATTTTATACCGAAAATGTGAGCCATCTCAATTTCATGATTATAATTTAATGATTATAATTTAATGATTAACTTGAGACAATTGTGTTGAGTCCTAAGAGGAATAGTTAAAGGGAGACATGGGAGATGCTCTTTCTATTATTCTCGTTGCGTCCCACACTTTTAAAAATTTAAAAATGTTATTATTTTTGAAAATGCATTTTTGGAAAAATGCATTTTTGGAAAAATGCATTTTTGGAAGCACCTCAAGTCAAAAGTCTTTAAATTTCAGCCATCAGGACCGCTTTTGGATTAGGCAAGTAGGTCCATCGCCTCGGGCCTCAAAAAATTGGAAGCCTCAAAATTAGAAAAAGAGTTTTAATACTTATAATAAATAATAATAATATATAAACCGTTTGCTAAACATGTAAGACTTCACATAGTCAAGTGGTTAAGGCATTGTTGCTTGATCGAAAAGGTTCTCAGCTCAACTCTACATTTTAACCTGATTTTATTTTTATTTTATAATGTTTAATGTATTAATTTTATTTTATATTTCTAATTATAAATGGTTTTTTAATACAATATTTTGAAATTGATAATGGGTCATCAAGTCAAGCTTTATTTTTGATGATTATTTATTATAATTTTTTAATTTTAGTTCAATTTTTTTAAATAAATTTTAATACTATTTATAATTGAATATTTAAAAATTTAATATACGACCATATCATTCATTATCTTTTTTTATGATTAAATATAATTTAATATCATTTGTGAAAGTAGAACTTTAACAACTATTTTTGTGCAACACTCTTTAACTTAATATATTGATTTGATTTGATTGCATCAATTACATTTCCTTCCTCAATATGTTTTCACATTTTCACTTATTTATCTCTCTGTAAGCTCTTCACTGCAAACCTTCGCCTCCCATGCGTTAGCTATCGCACTACGTCGTCGCCACCTCGGTGACAACCACAACCACCGTTCTTCCCTTTGAGTCTTACACGGTGAATTTGTCATATCTATCTCTCTTTGAAACAAAAGGGAAAAAATGAACACAAAAAAAGAATAAAATTTCAAAGTTAGTTGCTCACTTTTTTATTAAGTGTCAATGTTTATTATTTGTCCTGAACCTCTAAAAAGTCTGAACCAACCCTGAGAGACACCTCATTTTTGCCAAAATCTAATTCAGAGATGCATCTCTATAACTTTCTAGTGGGTTTTCGAAGATGCATCATCAAACTATCCCTGAAATCATTTAAAGGTTTACTTGAGAGATATTTTGGAGATGTATCTTCGAAAACCCCTTGAATGCTTTTAAGGATAATGGGTCATCAAGTCAAGCTTTATTTTCGATGATTATTTATTATAATTTTTTAATTTTAGTTCAATTTTTTAAAATAAATTTTAATATTATTTATAATTGAATATTTAAAAATTTAATAAACGACCATATCATTCATTATCTTTTTTTATGATTAAATATAATTTAATATCATTTGTGAAAGTAGAACTTTAACAACTATTTTTGTGCAACACTCTTTAACTTAATATATTGATTTGATTTGATTGCATCAATTACATTTCCTTCCTCAATATGTTTTCACGTATCTATCTCTCTGTAAGCTCTTCACTGCAAACCTTCGCCTCCCACGCGTTAGCTATCACACCACGCCGTCGTCACCTCGGTGACAACCACAACCACTGTTCTTCCCTTTGAGTCTTACACGGTGAATTTGTCCTATCTATCTCTCTTTAAAACAAAAGGGAAAAAATAAACACAAAAAAATAATAAAATTTCAAAGTTACTTGCTCACTTTTTTATTAAGTGTCAATGTTTATTATTTGTCCTGAACCTCTAAAAAGTCAGAACCGACCCTGAGAGAGACACCTCATTTTTGCCAAAATCTAATTCAGAGATGCATCTCAATAACTTTCTAGTGGGTTTTCGAAGATGCATCATCAAACTATCCCTGAAGTCATTTAAAGGTTTACTTGAGAGATATTTTGGAGATGTATCTTCGAAAACCCCTTGAATGCTTTTAAGGCATCAACATTAACATTTTTTATACCAACTTGTATTTTACGTTATTTTAGACCATAAATTAAAAAACTGATACACCAATTGATTCGAACATGCTACTCATAAATTAAAAAAAGCTATACATTAATTAAAGTAAAATCAAAATGTAAGGACCATACATAATTTATTTGAAAATACATAAAACAATACCCAAACAAAAAACTATTGAGTATGTCTAACCCCGGCTTATCCGCTTGTACTCTAAGGCTTATGTGCCTCGACAATAATGCCTTCTACAAGGGCCAACTAGGGACCGTCTTTCTAAAAAATTCTTGCCTTTATGCCCACTCTCTCCATATTCACAATACGCCTATGTACGTTACTTACGTCCTGAGTATGGTCATCCCTAGCCTCAAGTACCTCCTGATTAGTCGACCTAGGTGGTCATCCAGGAGCGTCTGTGTCATGATAGGGTGTGACACCCTATATAACCATGTCATGTATCCGCCAACATAAGCCCATTATACATGAACTAGCACCCTGTGATAATTCTCTAGAACCAAATGACTCTCAAAATCCTCAAGTATCGCATCAAGATGTTTGTGATGAATGATGGGAGGAGAGGACTTTGAAGGATGTCTCAGAATAATTTACAAATATCCAAATTGGTGCATCACTTGCTCGGAAAGATATGGATACATCAGAATTGACTCACATACCATCCATTAGAAGTATAATAAAATGAGGTCCAACTAATGCATATAGAGGTGACCGCCATATGGGCAAAAGACAATTTCATCTACTACATGACGATCAAGATACACCTGAAATTGCTCGATCGCCTAATTACTTCTAAGTGGAGAAAATGTGGCAGCACGTGGTCAATTCTTAGTGTAGGTAGACATAGGTCCCACCCGACGATGCGAGGAAAGTAGAAGATGATCAATCCCTAAAAATCGTTCAGATAAAATATTCATAACAATTGTAACTAAATAGTTATGAAAATATTAGTAACAATAAATTACTGTAAGCAACGTGCAACTTCCTATCACCTACTTTGTCATCCAAAGATAACCATCGCCCAACTTCGATTACAGGTAACCCGAACAGGCGAGCCCCCACTTGTGCTCATGAATCATTGTTAAGTCGATGAAGTATTTAAGGTAGACCACATCGACATAGGTTGCACTTTTGTCCATTAAAATGGGTTTGCCAACCAGGAACAAGAGGTAACACCTCAATGCACATTATTGATGGTACTCAACCTACATATCATCACCATCGGCATCCTCAACCCATTGCAACCGATCTTTATAAAGTTATTCCAAGAATATAAATCTAGTATGAGCACCTCTAGCGTCAGCTACCTCATTTACGTCCTTAGTTAGGTCAACCTCCAAATATGTAACCAGCCACTTGTTGGCTTCCTCTCAACCGAGCCTTCCATGGTCCAATAATTTTTTCTTGATGGGAAGATGCAGGAGGCATTTGCTAGACGAGGGCGAAGATCTAAAAGGGAGAGTGAATAGATCAATAACAAATTTTCTTTAATTAAACATTTGTTTTCATATATTTTCTATGGCAAGCGAAAACGGTTCCAGATCGACAGTCGTCTATCCCAAACCATTATAGGAAGAACCGAATATGTGTATTAAACCATAATTAAATGAAATTAACGTACCACAATGATGAGAAAACAAATTAATAAGTTTTTCAAAATTACGTTTGAACAATCTTACACATTGATAATCAATTTCCAATGAAATTAAGAAACAAAAATTGACTATGACGATTTGTCAAACACTTGGTGTGCAATAACCACCAAGCTAATTTTTTTCTTTGTGTTGTTGATGTGAAAAACCAATTGCAAATTTATAGATTATAATTATCTTAGTAAAAAAATATTGAAATATTTCAACACCAAAGGAATTATCAATATATGAAATTTTCACACTAAATGAGTTCATAAATTGTAAAAAAAGTGTAGAAAAAAATTCTTTTCCCACTTTAGTACATGAACAAATTATGAAAAACAGAGAGAAAGAGAGAGACAGAGAGATAGAGAGAGCACAAGGAATTGTATAGGAAGTTCCTCAATTATCCTCACTATGGGTACGTCTGCCCCCAATTCAAAAGGAATCGAGATATTCAATAATCTTTGCAAAATGTTGAATACTAAAGAGAAATATAAATTCAAACCCCCAAATCCAACATTTGATGTTGATTATATCTTCTTATCTTCCCTTGATATTAAGCAAGATCAAGTGTCCCAAGATTCACAATTTGATCCTCTGAATGCGCTACTTCTTTGACAAAAACCCCTTTCTTCAAAACTTTCACTCGGCTAAATCCTAATTGCAAAATCTTGTCCCAAAATCCCCTAAATCACAATTGATCTTGGAGGGAAAACTCCAATTGGTTTTATCAATGAAATCCCCAAAGTAATCTCAACCCAATTGATTTTATAAATCCTAAATTCGGCCTTATCAAACCTGAATCTAGATGGCACCCAACAAAAAGTATTATGTGTAATTGTTTTGTGTATGCATGGAGAAAGGTTGGAAATGATGAAGATTGCTTTGTATATTATTTGATTTCATCTATTTTTAAAAGATGCATGGACGTGTTTTATATATGTGTGTGTGTGTGTGTGTGTGTGTGTGTGTGTGTGTGTGTGTGTGTGTGTGTGTGTGTGTGT